AGTCTCTTCTTTGTCTTTCTTGATTGAGTTTCAGTAGTATGGGTTTGGCAGGTGTGGTGTTCGGTTCTGGCAACGACCATCTTCCTGGGGCTCGTCCCTTTTGTCTTGCTTGATGGTCTCCGGCCGAAATCGGCCGGGCGTTGCCTTTCTCTGGAGGTAGACTTTTAGGCTGGTTCTTTTGTTTCTGTGATGGCCTGTGTCCTGTCTTTTCCTCCGAGTTGATGAGTCTGCTGAAACCTGTTATCTGGGGGGGTTCTTTTGCAATTCGTGGTTTTTGGAAAAGGAATTCTATCTCGACCGGGAGGAGAATTCCTTATTCCATACTTACATTTAGTTATAATTATACATACTTTATTTAAACTTCTTATTCCGAATTTTTATTTACCCAATTCTTTATTACAGTCCCCCACCTAATAATTTGAACACATTAAAAATTCGTGTTTTTCATACTTTTTCAGAGGAATATCAGGTTAAATAATGTCGTTTTCCTCTTGGTCTAATTCTTCTATATTTTCTGTGGACAACATATGTTTATTTTCAAATTCCCTCAATGCCTTAACCGCATTTCTATTCTCTTTTTCTTCCTCTAACTTCATGATTTTTGAAAGAAGGGTAGTGTTTCCCTGTGCCTTTTCTGGGTCTATTGGGAGAGAGGCAATTTGCATTCCTTGAACGACAGAATGTATCAGTCTGATCAGACAAGGAATCAGGCAGGGTAGGAAGATGACTCCGGCAATAGAACATCCTATAAAGAATACTAGCTTTTTCCACCATGCCCCTTGCCCAAAAATTTGATCCCACCAAGAGGCTTGTAAAATCGAATTCCACTTCTGGACGGGTACATGGGCTACTTTCTTTATTTCAGCAGCTAGACCCTTTATAGTTTCTCCGAAGTCATCTATCTCCATGCAACACTCTGACTCGTTATATCTGCCACACACTCCTCCCTCCTCAGCTAGCAAATAGTCGAGAGCGAGTCTGTTTTGGTAGACAAAAGCTCTCATCTGAGAATGTTGTTTTGCTAGGAGTTCCAGGGCTTCTGAAGTGTGGTTTGAAACAACTTCTACCACAGCCTGTAACCTAATGAGCCGATTGAGGAGGTAGATTGGGGTCCTGTATCCCCAACAGCCATCTTTTGCCCATGTTGCCGGTCCATAATATTGTATGATTCTTTCGGCGGGCCATTCCTCCCCCTTCCATTTGTGGTTACCTCCGGCTATTGGTAGTTCCCGTTTCAATTCCCTCTTTTGTCGGGCTAGGGTTTCAAAGAGGGGAGCACCTAAAGACCTACTTTCATCTTTAGGTAGTGTAAAGAAGAAAGGCCGAATTATTCCGAGTGTGCATGACCCTTTCCAATTTCTGGGCAATTCACTGTATGCTTTCTTTCCGCATATCCAGTAAATCCCATCCGGTGCCTTCCAATCTCTGTTAAGTTTTGCCGGGTCCTCCCAATATTCCCTTAGGCCGAGAAAGGCATGGAAGGGATTTGCCCCGTCCTGTTTGTTCCAACATAAACCAATTAGATCTATCCATTCGCAATTATTTTCCCGAGATTGGCTCCAATAGCCCTCGGGTGATTCCGGCTGCCAAATTTTTGTCTTTTTATCTGAATTTACCGAGAGAGTTTTTACACACGGGGTGTAACCAACTAGCTCGGTGAATTCCCTTCCTTCCCGACTGACACAAAAAGTTCCAATGATTCTTTTATCAATCACCCACCCCTCTGGTCGCCGGGTTGTTTTGGATAATTTTAATCCTGTCCACTTAAGTAATTGTTCTGGGGTTAATCCTTCTCCCTTCCATGGCCATCTTTCGGCTGATTTCAGGCCACCACATATCCAACAATTAGTCAATCCCAATTCGGTAGCTATTTCCCGCATCAGATCTATAAATAGATTCTGATTAGGGCTAGGTAGCTTCCAATTATCGTATTGTTTTTCTAGTTGTTCGTATTGCTCACTGAGAGAGTTTAACCTCTCTTGTTCGAGTCTTTTTCTCTTATTTTCCATTTCTTGCCTTTTTAGTTCAAGAGTTAATTGTTTTATTTTATTTTCAGGGTCTGAACCATCCTCGTCTTTTGCAAAACAGATCACCTGATCAAACTGCAGACACACTCTATCATCGTCATTTTTCAGTAAATCTAAAACTATCGGTTCATTACTGAATGACACTTTCGTTTCATGTTTCAGGTTCTTCCCTTCCCAGTACAATTTCCCCCCCATGGCACAATATTTTAAGTTTGCTTTATTGTAACACAAGGGGTTGACTCTGTGGTACGCAATGAACGTCGACTGTTTCTTTCCTCCAATCCAGACAGTTTTATTACACTGCCCGCAGACCGAGATTGGGGAAACCCCTCCTATATCTCTCTTATTTCGTAGGTGGGTCGCTTGGACCTCTTTTTCCCCTGTGTTATGGGGTTGCCTTTTTCCAGTACCTATCCCCGGGGTGGAGCACCAAATTTTTCCTTCCAGCTTACACAGGTCCATTTGGGTACCGTTTGCCCAACATTCTCCTGCGTGCAATTCCGGAGGGCAATTGATCAATCGCTCGGTTCCTGTGGCAGTTTGGCACTGCTCACACTTCCCCAGGGAGGTCATCCCTGGAGGCGCCTCGGGGTCCATCCCCTCAGCCCAGCACATGGCTAGGTTCAGGATCGTCAGGATTCCCCACAATCGCATCCCTCTGCCATTCCCTCCGCCCGTACAGGAACATACGGCGGGGATAGCCATCTTCTCGGCAGCAAGGACTGTCTTCAGGGGCCCTTGACGTTCTGATGGCAAACCTCCTTTTAAAGGTTGCCCACCGAGATGCCTTGATCGTGCCGCTCCTGCACGGTACCTTTACGTTTCGGCGGCACTCTATTATTAGAGGTTCCGCTTTACAGTCCAAATGGCCTCGTAATCCCTTTTGAAAAAATCGGAACCACTCAGGAGAGTCGAGTTCCAAGATACCCACCCGGGTAGCAAGTGCTAGAAAAAGGTTGGTCTGTTCTAATTCCTCTTTGTAACACGCGGCACACAACCCTCTTGGTTTTTGCCCTCCCAAACAATGAGTCACCCACGTTTGTTTACAATATGCACACTTAAAATGTACAAAAGGAAAACAATAACATTCAAAATTGGTGCAACTTATCCTGTCTTCGTTGCTCATTTGTTGTTCCGCTGAAGCCTGATTTTCAATTCTCCCGGAGGGGTTACAATTTTCCACTCGGGGGGACCGTGAACCGAAACTTTCTTCACTCGGGAAGAGTGTGTCCAGCTCTTTTTAGCCGTACGAACCGCGGTGTCTGTAGTCAGGAGGACGAGGAATGGTCCTTCCCAGTGAGGACTGAGGGGTTGCTCTTTCCACACTTTGATCAATACTTTGTCCCCTGGTTGAATTTGGTGGATCGGAAATCCCAACGTGCTGCTCTGAGGAATCAATCCTCTTCTCCTTAACTCCTGTAAGTTTTTATTTATAGAAATGAGATAAGGTTGGAGTTGCACATCCTCTGTTTGAGGATGTTCAACCGGCATACCATGCTTGTATGGCATTCCATACAGCATTTCAAAGGGGGACAGTCCTGTCTCTGAGTTCGGCATGGTTCTGATATTCAGCAATGCCAAGGGGAGACATTTGATCCAGGACATTTTTGTTTCAATTGTCAATTTGGATATTTGCGACTTTAATGTCTGATTCATCCTTTCTACTTGCCCCGAGCTCTGAGGGTGCCAGGGAGTATGATATTGCCATCTGATCCCTAATGCATCTGACAATTGTTTGATAATTTTTGAGGTAAAATGTGTGCCCTGGTCCGAGTCAATATGGTCTACAATACCATATCTAGGAATTATTTCTTCCAGTAGAATTTTAGACACCGTTTGGGCCGTAGCCTTAGCTCTGGGAAAGGCCTCTACCCAATGTGTCAATTTATCTACTATAACTAACAAATATTTGTTTCTACCAATTTTTGGTAATTCAGTGAAATCCACTTGAATTCTTTCAAATGGTCGGTATGAGAATGGCCGACCTCCCCAATTAGTTTGCCTCAAATTTGATCTATTTACCTTTTGGCATATCACACACCCTTGTACCTCTTGCTTTGTGAGCTCGAAGATTCCTTTACACCCGAAAAACTTTAGAAATTGTTCAGCCAATGCCCTGATTCNGGTTACATTTTTTTTCAGCAGCTGTCTGTGTGTGTAGTACAGGTTGGAATTTCTCTCTTTATAGACTCAGAATGGTTTGGGTTGGAAGAGATCTTCAGGATCAAGTAGTTCCAAACCCTCCTGCCATAGCCAGCACTTAGACCAGGTTGCTCAGAGCCCCATCTAACCTGTCCTTGAATACCTCTGAGGAGGCGACATCCACAACTTCTCTGGGAAACCCATCTCAGACAATCTCAATGTGAATAATTTCTTCCTAATATTTTTCTAAACCTGCTCTCTTTCAGTTTAAAGCCATTCACTCTTTTCCTATCACTACCTGTGCTAGTAAGGTCACTCTCCACCTCTGTTGTAACCCCCTTTAGTTACCAGAAGGCTGCTCTAAGGTTTCCCTGGAGACTTCCCAGGTTGAACAACTCCAGCTCTCTCGGTCTGTCATCACAGGAGAGGTGCTTCATTCATGGTCCTCCTCTGGACTTGCTCCAACAGGCACGCTCTTCTTACGTTGGGGCCCCCAGAGCTGGGTGCAGCACTCCAGGTGGGGTCTCAGGAGAGTGGAGCAGTGGGGGAGAATCCCCTCCCTCGCCCTGCTGGCCATGCTGCTTTTGATGCAGCCCAGGATACAATTGGCATCTTGCTGGGTTGTGTCAACTTTCTCGTCCACCAACACCCCCACATCCTTCTCCTCAGGGCTGCTTTCAATCTATGTTTTCTTTCATAGTGAGCTACACATATTTTAATACACTACACTTATTTTAATAGCATAATAGTATTTTACTTTATAAGGTTCATCCATGATACAAACAAACAATGTGGTTCACAAAGGTCTTCTGGTTTGCTTGTGTTCAATAGGCATTAGCCCGTCACCTCCGACCTGGAACTCTGCGTGCTGTCTTTGGGAAGGACAAGGTTCAGAACTCTGTTCACTGCACAGACCTGCCTGAGGATGGGCTTTTAGAGGTAAGACAAACTTGCTAGACAAACACGTTCTCATATATCACTGAAGCTGTGAAGTGAAATGCTTCTCTTGATACTCTTTTAAGCCAGTGTTTCCTGTGTGGAGTAGCTGTGTTGTAGACCAGACTAGACACCAAAAAAAAAAAGAGTTTATTAAGGGTGTTTGACTCAGTTAATTTTGATACTGTAAAAAAATTCATCCATGAAGTTTTCTTGAATGAATATAGTATAGTGAAGTATTCAATGTAATGCAGCTCAAGAATCTTCTCTTTGTCTGAATGTGTCCTTGGGTCTGAATATCAGTACCTAACAGAGCAGGGACACCATTCTTAGCCCTTTCTTGGATCAGTACCCTCATCTAGATTGTCCCTACAGTGAACTTGTGTGGGGCTTGGAATATTACAGGCACTAGGGATTCAAATCCTCCAGATTGAGCCCAGGTCTATTTGCAGACAGTCATGCTTAGACACATCAGTTGATATTTCCTGTGTTTTATATTAACTTACTAATTAGTACCTGATTTTGGCTTTGTATGCCTCCATTAAAATCCAATAAAACGAGAAAATGTAAAATTAAGGGGATTTGTAAAGACAGAAGTACTCACTATGAAAACCAGAACAAGTTCATTCACTTAATTCTGTGCCTCAAAAGAAATGTCCATAGCAGGGGGTTGAAGTGGTGTGTAATCTTGGATAAATCTCTGTGTCAATGGAGATGCTTTTCCAGTGCATGCACAGCTTATTTTTTGCTGTCTCTATGTATTTGTGAGTGCTTTGCTGTCAAGTATAGCAGAATCATGGAGCAGCAAGTGTTGTCCTACTTAGATAATTTTACATAGCCAAAATGGTTGTTTCATGGAGGAGTGAGGAAGACCTAATTTCATCACCATCTTCCTCCATGAAATAACCTGTGGGTTAAAGTACTTTTGCTAGGAAATTCCATCTAGTTTAAGGCACAGACTAGTGAAATTCAACACAGAATAGCAACCAGTATAAACGAAGTTGCAGCTTTTTTGAGCATTTTCAATATGTCATTAAAAATTGACAACTTTTAGTTTGTTTCCTTAGGGTTTTTACAAGCAAGCAGGTATTTTTCACCACATGCCTGAAGTTCCTCAGCCATGGCATTCCAGTGGCAGCAGAACAAAAGACATAGCCTTTAAGGGAAAAATTAAACAGGCCAACACTCAAAGAACATTTTAGTGCTCCACCAGAATTTTCCACAATCTGTTGCCTTTACATTGGTGCAGATTTTGCTGGCTGTTTAAACTGAGTTTAGAGCTACTAGAAATGAGGCAAGAATTGCTTCTCCAAAACAGAAGCTGAGCCCTCTTCCTTAAGGGTCTCCATTACGTGTGTTTGTCCTTTAAATCTTGCATCTCAGTCATAACCAAAGTTGTTGATCTAGGATTATTTTGACTCCACACACCTTGCAGTTCCTGGTGCAGACTGATCATTTTAACAATCATTTATTGATTGTATTTTTTTGGGAAAGGGATCTAAGATCTTTTTTTTACTACAGGCATAATTGTGTGCAGAACATGGCTGTTCATCAATCTATAGTTTCTTCTGTAACAGCCCAGGTTAAGCCAGCAGTTGTAAAGGACATCGCTCAATGTTGTTTAGTGAGTAAATAAAGCAGAGCATGTTTTGGATTGAGCACAATGGGTTTGTACAGAGGAAGCCTTGGCTGTACCCATTGGTTGGTGTGTGGAGTATTTACACTGTTAATGCTAAAGCAGTTTATTAGGTGTCCCAGCCACAGTCCTGACTCCTGCTGTGGCTGCGTGTCCTGTGTGCACACAGGGTGTGTGCAGGGACTGCAGTGCACAAGGGATCCTGGAGGAAGCGTGGAGGAACTACTGCTGTTGACACTGTGTATAGAAAGCTGAGTAGGCTGGTTTGTTTATTACTTGGTTTTGTGACTTTTAAACTTCCAGAACCAAATGGAGATGGTCACATCACTGGTTGACCGAGTATTCCATGATGAGCCTTAAATGCATAGTGTTTATGGAAGCACAATAGAAGCATGTTCTCTTGTAGAAGGGATCACACTGGTGCCTTCCTGAGAACTCTGGAATCTTGTGTGCCAGACACTGTTTATCTTAAGATTTCTCCACCCTACTCTGCAGTTTTCATCACCCAGTTTCAGATCTAGCTGAAATTTGAAGAATTTACAATGGCAGCTGAAGTCTCTTTGTCCACAAATGGAGACTTCTTAGAGGAGATGAGGATTAATTTGAGGATTAGATAAAATCCTTCCTGAAGTTAATAGCCAAACTCTAGGTGGCTTTGGTGTTTTGCACTTCATTGACTGCCACTGGGAAGGGCAAGGTTGTGACCTTTCTCCCAAAAATCATGGCTAAGGAGTACTTGGTGAAAGGAGACAGAACAACATTGTCTTGAGAACAACAAGGACTAATTAACTAAATAAGGGTCAGCTTGTGCATCTAGTTTAGAACACTACACTTAAATAACGTAGTACAGCAGTTTTTCAGTGTTTTTCTCTTAGACCTCTTTTCCGTGGATCTGAAAAAAGGAAAGTTCACTTTTAATCTTAAACCCCCTCAAACAAACCAACCCCAAAAGCAAATACAAGCACTTGCTTCCACCAGTATGACCCTTAACTCCTGTCTTTGTTCTACAAACTACTTCACATTTTAGGCAGTGACTAAAGAATATCAGAATTAATTAATAACTCACTTTGGCTCAAGAAAAGAGGGGAGATGCATTTAAATGTGACTGGTCACCATAGAAAAATCAGTGTGTTTTCATCTGTGGAGCTGTAAGTGCTCTTTTTATTCCTAGTTTAGTGATACAGGCATGTGGATATTGTCCTGAAGTCTCTTGGATGAGTTGTTTGACTTACTGGGTCAGGCACTTACTTATTCACTTCATGAGCTTGTGAGTCCTCTTATCAGTACAAAATGTATTTTTACAAGTGACAATGGATAGACACAAATAGCTCAGAACAGTCCGTTTTCTCAGCCTTGTCATCAGTTTCCCATTTTAATGAGAAGAGGAAAGAAAGGAGGAAGAGTAGAGAAGGGAGACTGATAGCAATGGAGTATTTGTGAGATGGTGCAGTTTCTTGATTGAAGGTTCAAACCAGCAGCTGATGTTGTGTAGGACATGCATTCAGAGCAGGCAGCTGCATTTGCTTCCCACATCCAAAGCTGATAGAGCTCTACCTCTTGTCAAGTTTGGTTTTTTTCTGTTTTGTATAAAGCAGGTACTATTTGGAGAAAGCAATGACAGTACTCACCTGCTTTCATGTTCCTTCTGAGTCAGGTAGTGCCAGGACTAGAACATGCATATTTTATATGCCAAGGAACTGCTCTGTTTAGCAGACTAGAGATGTGTCATCTACATGTGGTGATAGATGATTCTGTTTTTCAAGTCACTGTCTTTGACCTGAGGAACATTTCTGATAAATATCTTGTTGAAATAGAGGCTTGCAAACCATTGGATCTGATGAATCATCATTCTCTAGACAAAAGAAGTTTCCTTAAAATTGATCATTCCTGGGATACTTCTTAATCAAAGTAGTGATAACAAGGTATTGTGGCTACCAGACTTCACAGTTTGTGTGCCTTTATAAAGAAGTGAAGGCAAATTAAAAATCAGTCATAAAGGCCTTATTCACATCACTGGAACTACAGTGAGTAAAACTTCCCTCAGGAGGTGGTGCTGTACACACACCTCAATTCCCTGGGTCTCAAGTGGCTCAGTACCTTTCAGAGCATGCAGGAAACCACATAATTAATAAAACTGGTAGCCTAGAACAGCAGTTATAACAAAACCAGAATTTCTGGGCTTTGGCACACTTTGCCTTTAACTTGTTGCTCGTACTATGCAGTTCAAGGTTTTAGGAGTTTGTGTGTGTGTGTGTGAGCAGTTCCATGAGGGCATTTGCAGTGCAGGGAAACACTCTGGGGATGATAGAATGCACACATCTGGGGTAACCTGAAAGGTCTCTGCATTGCAGTGCAGCCTGCCGTGCCACCCACGCTGGCTTCATGTTCCTGTGCCATGGTATTGGGGCAATCAGTCAGTCTCACAGGGTTTCTTTGCATAATTACCAGGTCCTTAATAGTCATACCTGTGTTTGTGTGTGTGTGTACTTAGGCACAGAGGGAGAGTATGCTGCCCTCAGCGAGATATGCATGAAAAAGGATTTGCTGTGGGGTGGATAAAACTTGAGTTCTGGGTGAAACAGCCTTCTCCCTGTTACCGAGGGCTACAGTGTTATTAGGTGACTAATCCTTGGGCAATATCGTGACAATTGCTGCGGGTGTGTGCTTACCCGTGCCTGTGTGTGCCTGCTAGGCTACGAGTGGAACTGCAGAGGGGGTGATCTCTCAAGCCACTTTCCGTGGGAGTGGGGGATGTTCCAAATGCCTTCCCAATCTCGTGTCCCCACGGGCGCTCTCAGCGCTGGCGCTGCGTGTGCCACCGCATGGCTGCGGGGTGCGTCTGCCTCCTCCTTGGGCATTGGCACCGTGGAGAGACGTGTCAGTTTTCAGCATCATGGGCAGCTTTCCAGGCAGGCAGGAGCGAGGACCTCCTCGTGTATCATTTGCTGGCCTTCTCCCTTGCCTCAGAGCTATTTGTGGCACTCACAGACATGAAAATAACCTGTCAAAGGGGGATGACTTTGCTGTTATCAAAGAAGAGCAGATTTCATCTGTCTTCTGAGGGAGCTGTCATGATGGTTGGTTTTTTCTCTACTGCTTCTTTGAATTCTGGCTGTGCAGTGGTGTTCAAGTGTAGGACTGGGGGCTGGCAGGCTGTGCAACAAACTGCTGGAGGCTCTTTGTTCCTTTGCTTAGCCTTGCACTAGTGAGACTGGCTTACCGCTCCTAGGGCATTAAAGCCAACAAGTAATGTCACCTAGGGACAGATCAGCTATGGTGATCTGCTGGACAGAGGCTCACACAGCTCTGGCACTGGAAGTTCAGCTGCCTGAATCTGGCCTTGGGGAGGTGGGAGGTGGTTCTGTAC